TAACCACAAGAAACCTTCTGGAGGTAGGAGTTTGAGCAGGAGAGCTTGAGGGTCTGAGGCATTTCACAGAAGAACTGCTCCACAGCATTGCCCTGGCAGAGTGGCAGTGTAAATGTATTGGCCGTGTGCAGCACAGCATTTGGAAAAGTACTGCCCCAGGCAGCTGCTGCCATGTGGGCACAAGCTCTGCTGCCCAGCAGGGTCCCGTAGTGCAGGGGTTTGCAGATGGAAACGTAGCGGTCGTAGGCCATGACGGTGAGAAGAAAAAGCTCTGCTGAAATGAAAAAGACAAAGAGAAAGACCTGGGCAGCACATCCCCAGTAAGTGACAGCCCTGGTGTTCCAGAGGGAATTGGCCACAGATTTGGAGACAGTGGTAGAGATGTATCCCAGGTCAATGAAAGAGAGATTGAGGAGGAAGAAGTACATGGGGGTGTGGAGGTGGTGGTTGCAGGCTACGGTGGTGATGATGAGGCTGTTTCCCAGGAGGGCAGCCAGGTAGATGGCCAGGAAGAGGCAGAAGTGCAAGAGCTGGAGCTCCCGTCTGTCTGTGAACTGCAGGAGTAGGAACTCAGCAATGGAGTTGTTGGACATTTCCTTCCTCTGGGCTGGAGACCTGTCCAAAGAGCAAAGGATACTGATAAGCTATAAATGAGTTATCTGATGAAAAAGGTCTGCCATTTCTCACAGAAATCCCTCTGCCTGCACTGACTGAGGAATGAGGCAGCTCATCCTCAACCCTCCACCTGAATGATGTTCTGCATGAATGAATAAACATACCATCACATGGAATTTCCTTATTGCCCCCTCAGAGAAAGAGTCAGAATAGAATTCAACCACGCCCTTGTTCCCAGGGCAGAGCACAATGGATAGCGGTTGAAACGTGGAAGAATAGAGCTATGGTCCACAGAAGGAAATCCAGGAGAGGAAGGAAAGAAGGTAAGCAGAGAAGCCTTCTGCTTACCCAGCTGTGCTCTTCCTCCCAGATGCTTGTTTTTAGCCTGTTTGTTGTGTATCATTTGTAGGACACAGGCAGTTCTAGCCTTGAGCTCCAGTTGCTGAAGAGTTGACTCATGCCCTGGACCCTGCAGCCCTGGGGATGAGGCTGTGCTGTGCGTGAGAGAAGACCAGGGGCTAGCGCTAAAGAAGTTGTTTGAACTGCAGGG